TGATACAATTTTTAATATTAGAAATAATAATAAATAAATTTTGTAGCATAAATTTTTATAAGTTGGCGCAATATTTTTATCATATATCACATTATTTTTGTAGAAAATCAAAATAACTATTTTGTGAAACAATTTTTTAGTTTGAATGTGACAGTGTTTTTGTATTAAAATAATTAAAATAACACTATTTTGTATAAGAATCTTTTTATAGCAAGAGACGCTTATGCGCGTGCACTTGGCTTTTTTTTCACTTTTTTTTTAAAAAGGTAATTTTTTATTTGTATCTACGCCATTGTAGAATGACTGACATGAGATCGGTTTGTAATTTCGGCCCGGCGTTTAAATGATCATTTAATGATGTGCCGTTAGAAGTAACGCTCGATGCGTTAAAAACAACGCGAAGACGCGTAGTCGAGCTACTTTCCCGGATCACTCCATGGTGCGGGAGATAAACCTGTTGATCGATGTGATTCTGATCGGTAGGCGCGGGCCTCATATGCCCCAGCCGTTGATAATCAGACATGAATTCGTGATATTCTGTAGCGATTTCCGGTTTATCAAGAAATCTACGGAGTGACGAATTTAGCATTTTCTCCGCCCTAAGTTTTGAATTTCCGATGTCAATCGGAGGACCCCTTTTGAACGGTAGCCGCACGACATGCTCTTCACACTGCTTTTCTTGCGATGTGAGATGAGTTTGTCGTGGGAGTTCCTTGACCTCCCAAAACCGATGACACAGACACACAGAAACTATTAAATTTAAAATACAAGTATATTTTAAATTAAGTTTAAATATTTTAAAGATAAATTTTTTCGCAATTCCGATTTTTTATTTAGAGTTTTTAGTAGCATCTCACAAGATATAAGAAACTCTCCAATATTGCAAGAAATATCGAGATATTTTTAATCATTTTTGTCCATTATCATTTATAAAAACTAAATGGCGCATTTTATAATATTTTATATATAACACATACACATATAATATTCTAATAATATACCGTAAGCAGCTCTCATTGAGATATCCACTTTTAAAAAGGTGTGTTAAATCGATACTTGCAAGTATTGTTACCTCTTTTCCGCAATACTAATTGGTTATCTCGACGCTGCGTTGTGCATTACTTTAATAAAAGCCTGTCATAACTGAGCATTTGACATTTCAAATATCAAGTGTGTGTGTAATTTTTATTTAATTTATTTCGAAAAAACGGAGAATTAGAGTTAATATGTATAAATAATTATACATACATACACACAAAATAAATGGCGCGCGCTTATAGTGTTCTAGTTTTATAAAAAATATATGTCGCAATATTCTCAAAATATTTAAAATCTTTGTACAATTTAAAAACATTATTTATTATTTAAGTACACATTTAATTTATTCTAAATATATGACAGCTCTTAAACTAATTTTCTTTAATATTGGAGTACACTTGCATTATCAATCATTATAAAAAATATGCGTTAGCTAAGATATCAGAATATGTGTTTTAGGAACGTATATACATATAAAAAAGAATTAAATAAGGATTTGTAAATTCTACTTAAATATAATCCTCTGGATTTAAACAGAAGCCATATAAAAGCGATAATATTCTCTTATGTAAACGATAATAATTTACTTTTTATACATTTCGAATAAGCTCAAATTTCGTTGCTTATATTCGATCAATTAAAGAACTAATAATTGACAGTTCAGGGGAGGAAGAATTAAATAGGATAAATAATTTATCTCCGATAAAAATATTTAAGAATATATCATCTGTGTGCGTATGTAGTGTGCCGTTACACCATATTTTTTTGCACAGTTTGCAGCAATTTTTGGATTGTTTTTTTAATAAGTACTTTTTGCTAAAATCATAATTTTTTTTTACAGAAATCGATTTTGTTCGTCTCAGTATTAATAAGATAAAATATTATTCCCTAAACGTTTCTTACGAATATTTCATGGATATATTTTTTACTATCTTATACACTTTACACATATTTTCTTATCAAAAGGACAACAATTCTAAGAGGCATATAATTATTGTCGGTTTCCTGGGCGTCGATAATATTTCATGCAGTTTCTGCGTAGCTAAGTTGTTTTTTGGCGACATCGAGAGTTCTTGCATGTTTCTCTCGGGAAGTGCCGGCGGAATCTCTTCTTGCATGGGCACTCTAGTGTAACGGCCTGGGTAACAGTAAATTGCACAATTAAAAATTTCAACAAATAAATATATATATATATAATTTATTTATATTTTTTCTTTATTCAGAAATAGAGATCAATTTTTATTTATTTGTATATAGTATTTTTATTCAATATTCTTATATTATCCAATCTTATTAAAAAATCGACGAGAAAAGAAAAAAAGATTATTTTATTTTTAACAACAATTAAATAAAAGAAAAATCACCCTGCGGAGTGTTGATGTGCCGCGGTGCCGATTTGGCGTTGCTCCATTGCGGTCCGTCTTGATAATCCTGGTAGTCCTGGTCACCCGGTATAACCGCGTATCTACCGGCATTGCCACGGCACGTCCGCGTCTGCAACCCTCCTCGATCGTCTTGGTTGGTCGCCGGTGCGGAACGTTGTTGCACCTGCTGCTGTGGAATGAACTCGTACCTCGACGAGGCCCGGCGCGGTAACCGGTCTCTCTCGTTCTGCTCTTGCGTGTATTCGTATCGCGAAGACTGGGTGTAAGTCACGCGAGGCTCATCCACCGGAAGACTGGCGTATCTCCTGTGCGCGGAGGGGGCTCCGTTATCCTCCAGATAACAATAGCGGTCCCGCGATCCGCAAACGTTGTCCAGCGTCGTCTCCGGCGGTGCCTGGAAAGCCGGATTGCTCTGACCCGTGGCGTGCAATTGCAATTGCAACGGCGGCGGAGGCGGCGGTAAATCATCGCCTCCTTGAAACTGCTGCGGCGGAGGTGGCGGCAGGTCGTTGACATGATGATCGTCCGGGATGTATTCCGATTGACGGCAAAACGAGGGATTGGTGTAGCAATGCACCGGCGCTGGTTCGGATGCTTGCGACATGATTGCCGTTCGTGACTATCTCATCGAGCTTCGACGAAAGATAAAAGCGAATTTGCGATGTAATCTTCAACGATAAGCGTCGAGAAACTCGCAGATCGGTTGGTCAAGGAAAGGGAATTAGACTGATAAGTTTAAGTCTGATTGGAGCAAATGAATCTGGCATTGACTCGCGGAAAAGCAAATTGAGACTTAAACGATTAAGTCTGAGTTATTAACTAAATGAGCGCGCGTAATGAAGTTTGAAGGACTTTCTTTACGGACTTTCACTGGACTTCTATCCGGAATAAAACTCGTTTCTCGATTCATGTGTTATACAAAATGAAAATTGATAAACAATGTTTTGTTTGAGAGAATTTGTCAATAAAAATTCACTTGAATCTCTTGTGAATATAATCTTAGCAAAATTTACAAAAATTAATCACATTTTATCAGTCACAAATACATACATAAGAATTTCCAAACAAATATTCCAGATTAACACATTAATAGTATCATGATAAAATTTCAAAATTATGAAGATTTAAGGTCGATTGATAAGAATCACTATCGTGCTGCTAACGTAAACAGGAGATTGCCAAGTTTCCAATGCGAAGCTCACTATTTGTATCGGCGTCGAGGCAATTTCGTGTGTCAATCTGCAAAGTTTCTTACACATCTTTCCGCACAGATTTCGGATAATGTTCCGATACGTCGAAATTATTCTTTGATTTTGCAAAAGCGTCTTTTTCAACAATAAAATTACATTATCCCACGCAGAATGATTTTCTATCACGCAATTTCTTCGGCAAAGCACAGTCATAAAATAATCAAAAGTGTCTTAGATGACGCATTTAAAATTTAATGCAATTAATGCATTTTTAAATTTAAAGTGAATAATAGAATATTAAAATTGTAACTGTTAAATAATAAAATTGAGAATCAATTTTGTCTCATAATAGAATAGGTGACGTCCCAATAATATCCATTAACAATGCGCACTTTCGTTAACCATGCGATGTGTTCACGACGGTTGCCTTCAACGAACTGCCTCTCGCGGGTTCCCTTTAGCAGATGCGCAAAGGGCGTTTCTCCATGCGTTCCCTCGCGTATCTCTATATGCGCGGTTGCTCGTGGGGTTGTCACGGAGTTTCACGTAATACGGGCCCGCTGTCCCTTCGCGCGGGGTGGGGGCCCTTGAACTATAGTATATTTCGTCCAGAATTTTGACCGTTGCTTCTATGTCACAAAATTTTTTTGACGTAGTAATTTAAACTTTAAATGCCTGTTGAAGGATACGCTTGGCATCAAAGTAAATTGAGATTTCTATGTTTCAATATAAAAAATTTTTTTTTATGTGGAACCTATATTCATAATATTTACGAATATTAAATAAGTCTCTTTTTTGCTTTTTTTAAAACATTTTAAAAAATTATGTACAAGCAGAAAGAAACAACAAATAATTGTCCTATTAAAAAACTCTTAAAAAGCTACATCATTGAGGATAAACAACAAATTATAATGCACTTGTCAGTATTTTATATATTATTTGTCATAAGACTTAATTTTGTCATTTAAAGATTAGAAATTATCTTGCTTCGATTTCTATTTTTGGTAAATAAATTTTTTATTTTGTGATAAATTGCAAATTATATAATTTTGTGTTTAAATAAAATAAAAATTGCCTCTATAATCAGATGGACGCGAAGAACTCAGAATGAGGCTACCGTAGTAAATTTTCTGGGCAGCTGTCGCGACCGTTGAGACGCGTGCCCCGATAGTAACAGCTGCTCCAACACGAATGCATTTCGGTCGTTATCTTGCTCTCTCTCTTTCTCGTTATGCATTGAATATATTCCTCTTACACTCTTGCGAGTATCGGCACGTTAACGGCCGAAAAGTCACTTTAAATGAAAGGATCCGAAACGGCGCGCGTGGCCTACACG